TGAATGCTGAGAGTCGAGAGTCATTTGTTGGTTGTGAAAAGTCTATCCACTAGTAAATGACCCCCTCCAAAAAAAAAAAAAAAGTTTTGGAGGAACATATGAGGCAAACAACATCTTTTTCAAGGACATCTCTGCTTATTCCAGCAAAACAATGCCGAGCCACATTTTGTGTTACAACAGCGTGCCTCCATAGTAAAGGCGTGAAAGTACTTTGTACTAATCTGGCCTGCCTGCAGTCCTGACCTGTTTCTCTTGAAAATACGTGGCACATTATAAAGCGCAAAATATGAAAACGGAGAGCACTGAGCTGTTGAGCAACTGCACCGCCTGCCACTCAGCTGCAGTAACGTCCAGCTACCCGAAAAGTCTTACAAAGGGAAGCAATGAAGTACTGTGTTTATACTTGGTTACTTCGCTGAACTGATTCATATCACGTGAAGGTGTCGAGTAGCCCGCCTTAAATGGATGTCGTGCGGCCAGTATTGACAAAGACATTAACGAGTGACTGAGCAGCCTCTGTCCCTTCAGCTTCACTGCTCACCCCGCTAAGCTCTTCGGGGTGGCTGCTAAGGTTACAGCCGCTTCCTATCCTTTTCCAGGCTGAGCTCGCCGCCTCTCGCTGTCGCCTCTGAGCTAATGAAAGCCAAACAGCTGGCGGCTTGTGTGCATGTGGATGTCTAGAAAAACGTTATGCGGCTATAGACTTTCCTGTAAAGGCCCCTGTGTGCTTTGGGGTTTCGACCTGGAGAATTGCCCTTAAGTTCTACTTGGAGATGACTTGTTTTGCTTTTTGCCCAGTGAGTGTGAATGGTGGGGGGGGGGCGCAAGTTTCCGATAGGAAATCATGTCAAGTGAATTGATCCAGACTTAAACTGTCATAAAAACTGGACTTGATCTGTTCTAATTGTCTTAAAAGTATAGAAAGAAACTAACCGCTGTTTAATATAAGTGGGGGTGCAATTAATTGTCATCTCATGTGGAAAAATGCAGAAAATGCAGACTGAGCCTACAGTGATCTTAAGAGACAAGAATGAATGAAATCAATCTTGAAATTTTTTTCCGCCATTAATGTGACCTATACCCACACAAATCAATTGATTTTTCCAGATCACAAAAAAATAAAAATCACACAAACACAGAGAGAGAGAGAGAGAGAGAGAGAGCGAGAGAGAGAGAGAGAGAGAGAGCGAGAGAGAGAGAGAGAGAGCCCCCAAACGAAAGTTTAGTCACCCCTGGTGAGCTGGAATCCAAATTTTCTTTTGATTTGGGATGTTCTACTTTGCAGGCATTTCAAGCTTTCAAGTCGTTTTTACTGCAAAGCTCAATTTTTGGAACACGACTCAGGTTCCAGCTCTAAAAGCACATGCAAACAAGAAATGGAAAGGACCAGGGCTTTGTTTTGAGGGCCAGCTCCACAAGTCCGTCAAGAGTGGATTTGTATTCTCATGATTTGTGGGAGGTGGAGCCAAGATCAAACAGCAGGGACCAGAATGAATCAGTTCGCCAATCTTCTTGAGTCCTTTCACACGCTCGGCAATAGCAACGACAATTTAGTACATATTACATAACGACCGATGAGTAGTCAGGCTAAGCAGAAAGGGCTGAAGTGTGAACCACGGGTTTCTGAGCAAAAAACAAAACAAAAAAAACAAAAAACAAAACAACAAAAATAATTCAAGAATAGCAAAAAAAAAAAAAATCGGCAAAACTTACTGGTTGCAGTGGCGCAAACTCTCAAATTTTAGGTACAATGAACTTTTAAGTTGTTGAAATTTATACTTTATTAATTGCAAACTTTCTTTTCATCAGGTATATAAAGTTGAATCCACTCAAACTTCTCCTCAGTTCACTAAAAGCTGTTGAAGCTGAAAGAATCCACATTAAAGCCCTTCATAATTCCAGATGCCTGTTCTAATTTTTAATCGTCAAACACATTTGTTATACTCTGTTTATCCGCATCAGCGCAAACTACTAAGCCATATTTATGAGGTTTATTGCATCAGAATAGAGTGACAAATGACTTGGATTTCTTCTTCCGAAGGGGAAAAAAAAACGGTTCCATTCAAACAAACATCAAGCAGCCAGTACAGGAAGTGGAAGAGGACAAATACGCCCCTCAGCAGCACACACACTTGTGGATGAGTGGGATGAATCAGCTGTAGAGCAGCACACACGCTGATGACTTTCCGATAAACTGACCGCATATCATTACATAAGTCGCTGCAGCTTGATGTGACTCAACACTCCAAAGCGGAGTACAACGGGAGAGCGCCCAAAAAGCCAACGTCAACTCTTCAGATGTTTTCCCAGGCGTCAACCTTACTTTGTCCAAAAAAAAATGGAATAATTACCACAGAGACAAAAATGGAACTTTCTGCGACATGGGAAAACACATGACTGCTCCGTACAATATGAGCAATATAGCTAATTAAAGACAATACCAATTAAAATCAAACAACACTGACTTAAGGTAGCTGGTTTTGCATAGCAGTGGCGCCTTGGTGATACAAGTTTAATTTGTTCCGTGTAGTCCATGCTCCATGACGCCATGGAGAATGATTTTCCAGACAGCTTTGAAATAATTCGGGTTCACAGCAAAATCTCCAAATTTGAACGCAATTCACAATTATTGTGCAACGTGTTTTGCAGAGATGGGCATTCCGTCCCTGGGAGGGAAGGTCCGTCCGTCCCAGATGAACGCACATTTTTGGGACGGAGGACGTTTTTTTTTAAAAAGGACGGACCAAGCAAGGACGGAAGTGTGTTTTCATCCGTAATTGTCCCTAACCGGGTTTACAGTAGTAAGTAAATAACAAGGCCAGAGCGTAGCCAAACCCGATATTTTCTTAACAGCACAACCTATTTCATCTCAACAGTATTTTTATAGCAATACTGCCACCTAGCGTACAGTTAGAAAACATAAAGTACCTACAGACACCCATTTCACTCACGATCAATCCAACCGGTCAAGAAAGCTGGCTGCGTTGTAAGTTTCTCTGGGTCCGCTCACTAAGATTTTTATGGACCCTACCCCTCATTTGAGGCATGGATTACGAAAAGTAAACTTGTTGTCATTTTATTTTATCATAGTTGCTATTTCTGTGTTGTGAAATGCTAATGCGTCATGCGCGGGCTGTTTTGGGGGTGGACTGGGACGGAAGCCCATCTCTGGTGTTTTGTAGCACAACCAGAGACGCCTGATGTTTCAAAATGTTGGCTGAGAGTTTGGATTGACTCTCCCAAGGCTCCAAAGTGGTGATGCCATTACGAGATTGCAAAAATACAAGCATGGATCCATCCTCAAATTACTTTGTTCTCACTTCCTACCTTCAATATTTCCTTTTTCTCTTTCTTCCTACCTCTCCATGTTTACTTCACCCATCCTCCTTCCTTCCCTTTTATCCTTATTTCCTTCCTTACTCTGTTCTTTTTGTCCAAATTTCTTCCTTTTTACTTCCCTTCCTTCTTTACAAAGGATACTACTTTGCACCTCCTATTATTACTATCAATGACAAATGCATATCCTTCGATTTAAATAATCGTCCAAAGTCGAAATTTTGTCAGGTACCGTACGTGCCCTTTGGTGTCATGGCGGCGGTCGTTGTGTCCGTCAAAGTTGTGTGAGTGTCACGTAGGTGTCAAAAATTCAAGTGTATGCATGTTGCGTGTGCCTGATAGATGAGCACACGTTGACCTCCTTTTCCGCCCGGAGTCAAATACGCAAAACAGATCCTTGTCAAAGTGCTCAGCATTTGTTGTTACTGAGTGGCCAATTCACCCCCCAAAATAAATTAAAACACTCATCAGACGACGAATTAAGTTACATTTTAACATTTTAAACTGTCTATAAATATACATTAAATAACATTTAAAACTATTTAAAAATGTAAAGAGAAGTTAGCCGCTGTACATGGTTAGACAAAAGTATTCTTTTTACCTTGCATCTTTTTCTTCCAGAGTTGCTTTTTACTCCTGCATCCTTCCGTCATGATATTAAAGCGATTTTTGTACCGCATTCCTACCACCTGAGACCTGCTGAAAAAATCTTCCTTCCTTCCCCCAGACTTCCCTTTAATTGTAACATGCTTTCTTTGCTGAAACTTTCTATCCTTCCTTTCACCCCTCACAATTGCTCTTTTCCAGGTAACTTTTCCACCTAACCTCCTTCCTCCTTTCCATCTTTCTTACTGTAACTGCAACAGTTTGAGAACCCATTCTACTTGTTCACGACTCAAGTTAGACGCCATTATTCACTGTTAATTTAAAAAGTGTATGTTAAAGAAAGGAAGGGACACTAAAACCCCTCCACTCTCATCTCCTTAAAAACCAAAACCCTCGCTTTCAACCGTTAATAATCGTTATTTTCTTGAATGGCAGTTTATGAGCATTTATTCCCTCACCCCCCTAATACTACAAGTCCCAGAATGCACTGCAAAAACTGGCGCGTTGTCACGTTGTCTGTCTCCTTCTTTGTCTTCTGTTAAAACAGCTCTCATTAGTGATCTGCTAGCGCATTTGAAACAGGTTTAAATGGTAGTTTTATGACGGGTCAAGGCAACCGTCCACTAAATTCCCTGCTGTGCGGCAAAATACGATTAGTTCGCTACTTCCTGACTACGGCGGGTTTTGAGGGTCTAAATACTTCGAATATTTTTATTTATTTTTTTTGCGTTGTTACAGTACCGATTTGATACACAAAGGTTTCATGTTGACGTTCACTTCTTTTGTGCTCTTCTTCTGCTACTCGTTGGCACTCATCTAGCACATCTTAATGTCTTATTGAAATACGACTATTTACTTAAAAACGCACTAGCGTTATTTATTATTATAAATTCCGACACTCTTAAATCTTCTAGATTAACCTGACAAAATTAATTCTTACCATGTAATTGATCAACCTGACAAAAGGATGATTTAATAAGGTCTATTAAACGTAAAACATGCTACTATTCTTAGAGAGGGGGCTGGTAGGGTGTTATAAGATACAATTTGCAAGGTGCCTTATCATTTAAATTCCTAATCAGGTGTGGTTGATTTCAGAGCACCCCTGAAGTTGATCTGTGTGATCTTGGGAAGAATTTATATAATATGAGCAGTACTTAGGTAAAATACTGTTTTAACAGCGAGTTGAGTTTTGAAGATGAAATTGAACGTGGCATTTGATGCACGGTGATCAACAATGTTTAGTTCAGTTGAAAAACGATTCTTTCAGATTTCTTCTGTCTTCAATCACTGCAAAAGCCGCAACCTGAACCCCAGAAGCTACTTAAGACCGTGATCAGCTTGATTCTTCCAAGCCAGAAACTTCAAAACCTTAAAAAATGTATAGAGAAAATGATGACTTACTTTTGTCCTTTCAGACCATTTGTCCAAAGATTATTATTCCAGTGAGGCAATCAAGTTTGCTTGAACGTCTCGCTGGCTCGCTTCGGCGGCGCCTTTGCTCGGGCTGATGTAAGTCAACCACGCACACATAGGAGGGAGGGATAAGAGGGGGAAAATAGAGGGAGAAAGAGAGGCAGAAAGAAGGGGGAAAAAATCCCTCGCATTCTGTGGATTCTTGGGAGCTAGCCAAAGTCCCAGAATTCCACATGCCACACATAAGGTTTCAATTTAGGTCCGATCCAAAGTCTCCATTAGAAAGCTTTCTTTCCTGCCCTGAAAAGAGTCTTTCTTTTTGACAGCCGCTGGAGATTCAAGGTAATGCTTGTGCTGCTATACAAGAATTTAAGGGTGCAAGCATCTTGTGCTTTTTTTTTTTTTTTTTTTGTAATATGACTCACAATCCAATTTTTCAGAAGCAAATGGTCAAACCAGATGAATGAAAATCGAGTCATCTTACAGTGGCATCATAGTGGAGAGGTTATTACTGTATGTTTTTATACAGCATAAAACTGTTGACATTTTTTTCTTTTTCAAAAGCAAGTTATAAAAATATATATTTCCAATTGGGGAAAATGTGAGAGTTTTGAGATGCATGCATGGTCACGGAATGAATCAAATTGAAGGCATAACTTTGTACTAGTAAATTAATAGGATCTGATGCAAACGTGTACAGGTAACAGTGAACGTCGTCGAAAAGTTGGGGTAAGAAGAAGAAAGTATGAGACTTGCCAAGTCAATCACCGGACCTTAACCCAAAAGAGCAGTGGTCCCCAATCCTCGGGCCGCGGACCAGTACCGGTCCGTGAGTCATTAGGTACCGGGCCGCACAGGAAGAATAAATAACTTACATTACTTTCGTTTTATTTCGAAATCTGAAAGATGTTTTATTTTGAAAAATTAACGGATTCTCTGTTACATCTGTTTATAGTATATCACGCAGTATGTCCAAGATCGTCATAATGCAATTAGCAGGGCAGGATGTGACGCCAAGCGGTGTCGTGTTGCTTTGCCCTATCCTAAACATAGACCTGTTTCTGGAAACTTTGAGTCTCAGGACACCTCTACGACCCTAATGCAAAAAGCACAACTTGCGTTAGTCAGAAACACAGTTGTGGTTCCAAAACAGAATTGTATAGCACGGTTGCCGGTGCAAAACTACTCAAAGTGGAGTTTGGTGTTCAAACATCAACATTTTGGGGGGGAAAATATGCCTCCAATGTCCAACAATTTAAACCACCATCGTAATGTATGATGGCAGCAAATCTTGTAAGACTTCAGCTCTGTGAGCATCTAAAGCAGAGAGTGCAAAATTTCGTCCTCAAGTGTGGATAGAAACATTTCACTGATGATTCACACATGGCAGATTCTCAATAGGTGGCCCCCGCCCCCGTGGTCCCCCACTTTGCTTGCCGCAGGTCGCCACAAAAAAAGACCAACCATTCAAAAGCGTTTTTTTCCCCCTTCTCCTTTAATACGCATCACATTGAGCTGAGTCATGTTCCATCATTAATAATTAGAAGAATAGCTCCCACATCCTGCCCTGTACATAATTCAAAAGCCAGATCATTCCAGTTCCAATGTGCTCTAAAAATCATCAAGTAAACTTGAGCAGATGTGAAATATCTCATGACAGGATACATAATATAAAAAAATAAGTCTCATCAGCTAAATAAATAGATGCACCAGACCCACAAGCTCTCCTCCCAAAGGATCGTCGTCATACATACAGAGGGTGCTCACTTCATCTCGTTGGTTCGTTTTGCGCATCGCTTTCGTGCGCATGCACACTGACACTGTTATTGCACATTGATGACATCACAGCTTATCCCAGAGGAACAGAAGGGTTGGTGTCTTTGGATTGGTCCCCCCCTCGCTGCCTAGAAACCGCTCTTGATGCCGCTCTCCTCGATGATGAGCGTCGGGTGGAAGCCTCGATCCTTCACCAGCACTTCCAGACCCTGTTCAGGAACAACCGTTAATGCTAGTGGGACATAAGCTAATAGTTTCAAGCTCTGGTACACTTTGACGAGTGGTCATGTCACAATGTTGTGTGCCACCGTAATTACGGTCCCTGGCAAATCTAATTTTGTACAAATTAAAGACAATGTTGTGTGCGTTTACTTTCCTTTTTATTGGCGACGCGTTTATTTTCCTCAATACAAAAGTCCACTTCATTTACTTTTACAGTAAAATGATGCAATAGTGGAACAAATGTATTATTTGTGTAGCGTTCGTGATTAATGATTTTTGCCCCCTACTTCCTGCATAAATGGAAGATCTTACCTCCCCCCCGTAGGACACCAGCGGTGAGATCTCACATTTGATTGGATGGTCCGTTCCGTCTTTTAGGCTGGACAAGAAGGGAGGGATACGGAATTACACAAGGCGTGTCCCGGAATTGGCCGTAAGCGGCTCCGAATCCTCGGCCCTTTGCGATTATTTTTATTTTTTTTTTGAAAGAGTGGATCATCAAAAAGAAGGAAGGAAGCAAGGGGCAATGATTAGATGTCATAACACAAATGACGGCTCGGGCGCTCGCATGTCCACCGCCCGTGTGAGCGGGGCATGCCGCCACACTGCCATCATTCAATTTGTTTGAATACAAGAAAAATGACAAAGGAAGCGGGGAAGAAACAGTATCAGTAATTACATGTTAGCGGTCCCACCCAGCCTGGTGGGAAGACTGAAGAGTAAGAGTCAGAAGACACATGACTGAGGAGGAAGAAGAACAATCATAGTGAAGTACATTTTCACTGTACAAGAATTTAAACTGGGCTCGTTATAGTCGACAGGAGTTGAGATTAGCATGCGACACATGCCAACGTCATGCTCCGGTGGCGCTGATTTTGCGGCCGTTTCTTTGATTTTAAAAGTGGCCAAAAAAAAAAAAAAACAACAGATGATTTGAGGTGAAGTCGAAAGTGTGTTTTCTGCCATGCAGTACAGTTCGGTGTGCTTTGGAACGGTACAACGTCACCTAGCTTGCTTTGTTATGTACAATGGATCCAGAAAGTGAGCACAATTCTGAGTCATCAACTATTTTCTGGGACAGCAACAACTGCTTTCGACACAGCAGAGGGAGAAGTTAGTGCTTGGTCACTTGATAGTGACAGCCTCCGTTGCCGCCCAAGCGGAGTTAATCATACATTTTTCAGTGCATAATTTGCAGTCATCTAAAAAGCTTCTGTTCCCTATACACGTTTTGTTTTGGGGGGTGGGGGAATTTAAATGGTGGCAAACGTGTGAGTGTGCAACCACATTATTTCACTTGTTCATTTTTACTTCTCCTCTCAATATATATTTTTTCTAATTCCATTGAGTTGCAGAGGTCCCAACTTTTGACAAAAAAATCAAAACTGCACACCCTGTGTAAGTGCAGCGAACTGTACGTGCTTGGAGAAAAGCAGCGCTTTAAGAAAACCCAAACCATCTGCATGCACTCATTACTGCCGGGGGGGGGGTTTGAATAATTACTTTCTGTTGCCATCATCTGTGACAGGGCCTGCTGCTCCAGCTCTGGAAACACTTGGTGGGGGGGGGAACATGGTGAGCAAGACAAGGAATGATAGAACACACACACACACGCACGCACACACGCACGCACACAAACGCGCACACACACACACACACACACACACACACACACACACACACACACACCAAAAACAAACAAACAAACAAAGAAGCGATGCATGCAAGCAGCGCAAGTCACATGCTCACCTGGGTATGGCAGGCACGCGCGTGCCATTCTCGTCGATGAAGTGGCCACCGGCGTTCAGCACCCAGCGGTGGTGGAGGGACATGAGGGCGTGTCTGGCGGTGGTGGGCGTGTCCTTCCCGTCTTGGTGGTCGGAGTTCTTCAGCGGGGAGAACTCGTCTTCCCTCAGCACCTCGTACACCACAAAGGTCCTATTGGGAGACAGGTATACATAGCTCTCGAGAACAGCGATTTTGAATTGGTGGCTAGGGACCCGTTTTGGGTGGGTAGCTAGTCAAAAAAATAAAAATAAAAAAAATGCATGTTTTGATATTCAGATTTCAGCAAATCACCCCAAACAGATATAGTGTAGCTCAGCCTTTGGTTAGCGAATGTCATAGCGAGCAGTATGTTTTCGGCGGTTTGTCAAACTCATTTCAAACTGCGTTTAAAAATGCAATGTATCTTCCTAGGCTATTTAAAAAAAAAAAATTTTATATATATATATATATAAATTAAAAAGCTTTATTATTCACTTTGAATGAGTCGCACCACAATAGGAAGAAGCGGATCCAAGGGTGACTACTGCTGAGAACCACTGCGATACATTTTTTTGACTTACATAGAGCAATAATATAATTAAACAATTTAATAGCTCACACATCTTGATTTATTGTTGCAATCCAATTCATCGTGCTGCTCCTTCTGTTGTGCCCAACTTGGCCACCAGGAGGCAATATAATATGGAGTCATACAGACACAAAACAAAGAAGTAATGGACTTTTTCTACAATCACTACTACTGTAAGTAACTCCATAAGCTGTTGTCAGAGCAATTCCTGTTGAAGATAAAGAGTAAATGAATGTGATTTTACCTGTCGACATGTTCCGATACATGTTCTTCTACTCGCACAACCATTGACCGCAACACTTAGCATGTCAATAGCCTTTTGCATTGGTTGTTACCATTAAGCTACGCAGAGTTCCCTAAGGCAAAGTTGTGGTTGTTTTAAATGCACAAGGCATAATTCTCTTTGTTTTATGTTTAGTTTGACAGTAAACCTCAACCGCTGACTCCACTTTCGGGGAAAGGGCATTACTGAGGAATCCGTGATTATTTGCGTTTTAGTAGAATTCCAACAATTTCGACTTCATATGAACATCAGCGGTGGTCAAAATGAACACGGCTGTCAGTTTCATCACAATATTGCTAATGGTGAGTGGACTGAATTGATCACCAAGTAATCACAACGCAGCTGTGTAAATCCCGTCTCACCCACAACGCAAACCTTGCAAAGGCATAATCCCAAGAGACAAGACACAGCTGCTTACTTGGCAAACTGGAAGATGTCAAAGACGAATTTTTCCATTTTAATTCCATTGGGTTTGTCGGGGGTGATGAGTTGACCCTGGTGGTCCACAAACGGGATCTTCTTGCGGGCCACGTGGTGCTGAAGCTTTGGTTCGTACTTCCTGATGGGAAAGAGTAACAATAAGAGTCTTGGTGTGTCGAACCGAAGAAAAGACGGTCTTAGTGGGCGTACTCCACTATGTCTTTGAGGAAGGAGAAGCTGAAGAAATGATTGGCCACGTTGCCCGCGTTGAACATAAGGCGGCCGTCGGCGCTGCGCTTCTCGGCCGTCGCCAGGGTGATCTCGCTGTACTCCACCACCTGGTAAAGCCCGTCTACCTTACACACCACGCCGACGGCCTCCGTCGGGTTGCTTTTCTCCACCACCTGAAAAGGAGATCAGGACCACTGTCATTTCAGACACCATTAAAATGTTGTGTCTCGCGTTGGCTTAACGGCATTCTCGATTTGTATTCTGCGGCTTTGGTTGGAGGACAAGTGTGATTGAAAATATCGGCGGATGGGCTGTCAATGCTCAAAAAAAAAAAAAATTACATTGTGACATTTATTACTCTTCCTCAACATGAATTTTATTGTTTATAGAGGATTAAGTCATTACTGTTTACACTTAAATCCAATTTACTATGCTACAATGCTATTTCCAAGATTGGCTCCGCTGTTAAAAGTTTTATGATGGCAACATTTTGGAATTTTAAATAGAATTGCTAAATGGTCAATTTTGGAAAGCATTTTTCCAACGCAGAGAATAAAGATTATTATGATTGGGCATGATAAGATATTGCGATACAAAAAAACCCCGAAATGTCAAAACCACATAAGAGAGTAATGATTGGCCAACAACTTCTATGACACGAAGTTAAAACTGCCAAAAAAAGATCACATTTGTACCCTGTGAAAGCAGCAGTTTGCCCTGAAAGCGAGAGAGAGAGAGAGAAAAAAAAAAGTTTGCCAGCGCCTAATGACAGAGTACTAATGAGAGGGTTGGTAAGCGGGCCGGGTCAACGCTCGCCGGGATGCCACATGAATTGCCGAGGGAACTTAATAGATAGGCTGCATACTGATCCTGAAAACCCGACCGAAACAGCAGCTGTCCGCGGATTTTCAAGATGCTCGATATAACGTTTTTGCTGGAAGATCAGGTGACATGGATGCTTGGGAAGAAACGGAGGAAGCATAAAAGGCACATAAAATCCAGATACAACCACTGCTCACGTGGCAATAAGATAATATCACAGATGCCAGGGTTTTCTCCTTCACAAATTACAGGCACAATTTTTAAGGAAGTTAAGACACATAGTCCAAAAGAACCAGCGTACTTCTTTCCTTTTTACACTTGTATGACAATTAAGATTGTTCAAAAACGTTATTTAAGACTTTATGATCGAAACTTTTTGAACCAGGAACAAATGTCATTATTCCAAATGGAGAAATGTGCTTTCAAATACAAAGCAAACAACAGTTCATGTTTTTGGAACATGTTAGTCAGTCACTTAATAAATATGTATTTGAGCGTGGGGGATCCCCATTGTTTTTGACGCACATAGGCATGCCAGTCTGATGTTGTGAACTCAAACCGTCCTTAACGATTAGGCGAAGGAGGAGTCAGTCGCCTTCATTGTTTAGCCAAAGATGACTCACAATGCATCGGGACGCTGCCCAGGGGCACACGTGAATAATCTTCCGGACTTCAATCATGTGATTCACTGACAGTGACTACACAAACAAACCTCTCCAAAACGTATTTATAGCCAAAAGCGCAAAGACACTGCAAAGAGGCTTTGTGTATTCTCGAGACTACCTAAACAGGCCTTTAGCTCCACCTGCTGCTAGGTTGTGGAAGTGTCATCCCATTGGAAATAAATGCATTTGTGAAATGTGACTGTGTTGTACCACCTCACCTATGACCCTAAATGAGAAAACACACGATAGGAAGTACTGTAGATTGATGTACTCCAATGAAAATCCATATTGTACCAGTCTTGACCCTGTCTGATTGATTGGTCCTAATGAAGTGTCCAGAGAGTCTAAGTATGTAATAAGTGTGATTATTAAAAATAATAATAATAATAATAATAATAATAATAATAATAAAACAAATCAACAAATGGCACTGGCTGCAGGAAAAGACCCAGTTAAACCCCCCTCCCAAAAAAAAAACAAGGGAAGAGAAAGGAAGTGCAATACTGACCTTAGCGCCACAGTCAGCATTCTTCTCCACACAGAAACCGACAAATGCTGGGTCAGCCACTTTGACCAGGATGTTGTCCACACAGTACACATGTATGAACTCAATCCCCCTCCGCTGCATGTCGTCACAGATGCCCTGGTTGCCCAAGGCTCTGTACAGACCCCCGTTCCCGTCTGAAACACAGGAAGATAAATATATTTTTTTTGTTTGTTTTTTTTTTTTTTTGCACAAATTCTACAAACGCAGACACTAAGACGAGACGACACGTGCAAATTACCAGGAGCCATGGACAGCTTGCATTTATTCTCCAGGATGATCTTGCCGTCGTAGTCCATGGCTGGCAGCATGCCCTGCTGAAAGAAGATGACGTTGTTCTTGTCCAAACCAAAGTAGTTTCGGCGTGAGAAGAAGTCCTTGGTGGATTCCATGGTCCTGCCGCTCGTCATGATGTACCTGAAGGTCAGACCCACCAGGTGCAGTGTGGGTGCGGGAAAAAAAAATGTTTGACTACTGCTGAACACATTGTGGGTTTCATATCAAAATATGTTTAGAAATGCGTCACCTTGTTCACGCTCAAGAGATCAAGACGGGAGTGAATGCCATTGTTGTTACCTCGCCCATAACAGCACATAATGGTCTATTTCTATTAACGTTTGTTCAAAAAAATGAATAAAATAAACACGGCACCTCAAATGGTTCTTTTTTTCCTCCCCCATAAGGAAAAAAAAAAAACAAGTGGTGCTCCTCAATAGCTGTAATTTATTTTACTAGGATGTAACTGATGGTTGCATTGTTCACTTGAATAAAATTGAACGCCGCGGCTCAAATAGACGCCTCCTTTATCCCCCCCACCCCCACCCCGAACAAGTGAAATAACAGGTACTGCTAGTAGGTTGTAATGATTACCTTTACGAGGACTTTACGATTACTCTGGTGCACTTCAATAAAATAAATGCCAAACCTTCAATGAATACCTCATTTTAACCCCCCAGGGGAGCAAATTAGGTGCTGTGACATCGTACTAAGACAAATAGACAACACCATTTAAGGTAAAAATTTGCGGGTGTTAGTAGGTGAAGGTGATTACCTTGATTATGATGGTGCACTTCTTTGGCCTTTATGGCATTGTTCATATTTCCTAATGTCCTTGACTCCACAAGGAACTTCCTTGACTATCAATTCCAATACTGATGCAACCGAGTTCAATGAGCCATTGAACGAGGCGAGGGCAGACCCTTAGCGTTGCGCTAACAACGGACTAATGAGCCTCACCAGGGAATCGTGCACTTGCTCTTGTGCTTCTCCTCACTCAGATGCTGCAGCTTCAAAATGCGCTCTGCCTGAATTTGGAAGAGGGTCTTCTTGGACGGAAGCCCCACGTCATACATGCCTTTGGGGTAGGAGACCCCCAGTCTGGTTCCCTGACCGCCGGCCAGGAGTAGCACTGCCACTTTACCCTGGGAGATGCATTCCAGACCTGAAGGGGCAAAAAAAAAACCAGAAGCAGATTTTTATAACATAACATTAAGATTAGATTGTTGAACAAGTTCATGTAAGATGATGAGTTCATGCTTGCGTGGCGCAACATCTAATCTGTAAGAATGGTCATAGTACATTTATATTGCCTTCATTAATAATTAAAATACAATTGCAGCAATGAATGCGATATGGCCTTAAAACGAAATCTGATTCGAAAATTTGAGTTGTGAACGCTGTTGTCATGTAGAGTAGCACAGATGAGCCATGGCGATTTCAACAAAAGAAAATATTTGTCGTTTTAGAGACACCGACCTTGGGTGACAGCTTTCCATCGTGTCGAGAAATCACTGCTTTTGCAACATAGAAATGGGAATATTTGTTCGCAGTGTTCATTGTAATTGACTCCATTCATTGTCTAGCATATGTGTGTGAAAAAAAATTGGATAGTGTGTCACTGTCCAAAAAAAAAAAAAAAAAAGTCAGTATTATTGTCAAAATTAGTCAAACACCAAAGGAAAAACAAAAAAGGACCCAATAAGAGACAAGGTGGCATCGATATTTTTTTTTTATGGAGCTCGAGGGCTTTATGGATTCATAAAGTTTATGGCTGCTCCGCTTTATCTTACGTAAACGTCTCCTACGTGACTCGATTCGCAATGTTCCGAAGAAAACCTGTAGCTTGGGCGGACCTGCTAGACTTTGACTAGCCACCCAAACCTGCAAACGCGCGCACACACACACACACACACACACACACACACACACACACACACACACACACACACACACACACACAAGCTTGCGATTTGCTCTTGCTGGAGCGCAGTGATCTCATCAACGAGGGTCAAAAACCCACTCTGTCTACGTCAAAGATAAAATCAAAACCAGATGACCACCACCGCAATTACTCTCCACCCCTCTGCTGTCATCTTCCTGCTGTGAGGAAAAAGTTTGACAAAAGCACGCAAGATTGTGCAACAAAAATAATGAAGACTCTTGGGGAATGGGGGGAGGGGCAAATTGCGTCAAATTTCATTTGACGCAATTTGCGTCAAATGGAGTTATTAAAAACTCACAGCCTGATACGCAACCAAAAGATGACTCATAGAACTCCTTCCCTTTTTGTGCTAGCTTTGCCGTTGCCACCCATACTAACATTGCCTTTAACCAAATGCCATTTCTGACACACATTTCAGCTTCCACTTTCCTCCGCAACACACATAATGTTGGACAATTGTAAAGTTATACATCAACAGAAAAGTGTGACTCAAAAGTCAAACACTCCAAAAGTGTTTTTTCTGATGCCGCTTCTAAAGCGTTTGCAAAGACGAAAAGTGTTGAAAAGCACAACTCATCAAGTCGAAAAACATTTATAAAAGAAAAAAAAAAAAACTCCCTGTCGTCATTTATGCCACATCAAAGGCTGAATGATTTTACTGTACTGTATTTAATATCATGTAGATTGTGGGTACAACAATAAATCAACAACTAATCGATGATCAAATTCATCAATAATAATTTTTGATAAACGATCATTTAGATACCATTTTTAATTTTAAACTGTCCAAATGCTCAGAATTTCAGCTTCTCCACACTATGTATTATTTTATGTCATCTTTAATGAAACGAAACATGTGCATTCGGAAAACAACCATCAAAATTTTTGCCTATTTTCTGACATGGGACAGATCAAGCCAGTTACTGTATCATAATTAATTTTGCTTTCCAAATTTAACGAACCATCAATTTGAAACAATGCCCTGTTTTTGAATGACGAGACGGATATTTTAAATTATTTTGTTAAATCTTTTTTTTTTTTTTTGGCGGCTTGGCTTCTGTCGTTCAAAGCATATCCTTGCTGATGATCACTCTTGCACGAACAATGTGACTTGAAAAGAGTGGAGCTAATTTCTAAAGCAGAGTCAGCGTTGACATATTAGTGACTTTGGCAACTCCTCGAGTGACTACTTTTCAAAAACTTACCGTTACAGAGGGAAAAAAAAATGTTGGGTGATGTTGATGGAGGGGGGGTCGATTAAAATTAAACATCAGGTTTACCTTTTTGCTCCCAGCGTTTAAGACTTCCCCTGTCCCTCGTGACGCTCCCCAGCACATCTTGGGGCACCGGCTCCATGCGGGCGTCCATCTTTTCGTTCTTGCCACCAGAGCCGGATGACTCCATGGCCCTCTTGAAGAAGCCGTTGACCTCCTGGAAGTCTATCCCCTGCAGCTCCTGGTTCAAGCAGGCACGCTCGTCGGGGCTCAGCTTGTCCCAGAAGTGCAGCAGGTGAGACTGGCCGGCCTCTGTCAGCCTCTGCAGGAGTCCGCTGGTGTTCGGGTCCATGATTTGTAATGATTCTGTTAACACAGAAACATGGCACAAAGTGCCAATTAAGTTACAGCTCATTTTATTTCATTCTTAATGGTCATAAGGAAGAGAATGACTGATCTTTGCTAGCTCGGCATGAGATAACATGCACCCAAGTTCAAAAAGGATTGAGGAGGAAGAAGCAGGAACGGGTTGTGAGTTCCCTAAAAGACTCCTACAAATAATATCTATTATTATTGTTATACAATAGAAAGATTAAAATCATACAAAGATAAAGTGGTGATCATACTGTGCTTTTAGAAGGACAGAGACATTTCTGGTCAGTATTTGTAGCACGAATGGTTGGTAGGCTGGCTGACTGACTGACTGACTGATCGATGGGTGGCACACCCAACAAGTCTTTTTACATCTTGAACTCAAAAGACGAAGTAAAACATTAAACCTGTTAAAGCAACCTGTTGGTCCACAAAACCTTGAAACTTCAGCAATTTACAATGCCATTAAATTGTCAATGTAATACTCGTTACAAATATACTCATTGGCCATTATTCACACTTTAACTTTCTGTTAGTCTAAGGTGGCGGGTAAGAGCAGAGCATACGTAATGTAAATAATTGTAGAAGTGTATTTTTGAGGTGAAAATGTTCAGTTGTCAAACGTTGTTGTCTTCGTTTGTAGTAACGCACCGGAGTATTTAGCATTGTTAGCCGTGAAATAACTGAATGAATACGTGAAATACGTGTTAATTCTAATTCTAACTTACCAAGTGGGAGTGTCACTCCTGTGTCGGACGACGTTTAAAATTACAATTGAGGCTTTCTTGTCCGAGTTTAGACGCCTCACAGCCCAGACACCTCCTCCTCATACGTCACGCTAACGTGGCAGGCGGCTAGCCAATGCTGCCTTCATGTAATCTTCGTAACTCTCATAACCAGTTAAAAAAAAGTACTACTGTAGATGTACCTGATAGTAATTTAGCGGTCCGGACGATGGGAACTCTTCCACGGGGATCTTAACTAGCCGCCCATCACTTACAACCAGAACAACTAGCTCTTGAATGGCAACTCCACTCGCACTCTTCAGACGTAAAAAAAAACAAAAACGGTTCCGTCTTCTCCACCACTCACATGTCATTCAAGTAATGTGATTTTAGGTATCCCTGGAAATCAGCACCGTGTTATTCGTTGCACATCGACTTTCACATAACTGTTTCTGTACCTTGGAAGTACTATTTACATCCAAACTATTATCAACCTCTGCCCTCTATGGCAAGAAGATGGTTTCATTAACAACCATGCTTTGCTTCAATGGGACAGTAGTGGGAAATAGTGAAATAGAAATACTTACTTACTGTACTTGTAGATTTTTTAATGCATGTGTACATAACTTGAATATTCCATATTTTTGGTGACTTTTTTTGCTCCCGCCATTGGAACGCAGACATCTGTTCTTTATACTCTTTCCATCCATCCATTTTTAGCACTCTTGGGGACTTATAATATAATACATGAACAATAAAAAATAAACAAGGACAGTAACGCAATTGCATAAGGCTCCGAATGAAATTGTAATTGATGTTCAAATGATCACTGCTAATAAAACTGGTTTAGAAACGGCATTGGCAAGGCCGAAAGTGGCGAGGGCTCAAAAACAAAGCGACCTTCCCTCCGCCGTGACGAGTCTCGTAAGGAGGATGAAAGTGCAGTGCGAATCTCTGCCCCACGGTGGCAGCACTCATAAAGACTTGAGCAGGAAGTAGTACAGTATTATCAATGGAGCGCATTGTAAACATCGTCACAGAAGAAGTAGATTTGTTGACATCCTCTTGCCAGCTGACAGCCTCTGCCTGTCTGTGGTTCTCACCTCCCGAAAAGAGATGAAGAAGCTTTTCGATGACATCAAGAAAGACATCAAATTTAAATCGGCGGGCCCTGGGAAGAAGCTAACGGAAGACAGCAGGTAAAAGTTGAACTTTTTCCCACCGCACCACCTCTGTGGCCCCAGCTAACCGAACGGCTAAAAACGTTAGCCCACCGTTGTAATGTGTGCGTCCTTAAGACTTAATAGATCGGCTTTATTTTGTACTTTATGACCGCGTGGAACGCTTAATTTAACATTACCTGGTGTCATTAGTTGTTACGTAATGATGCACCCAAGAGCAGGGCATGGGGTCTAATTTCAGGATGGTTAGCGGTAAATCCCATATAATCTTATTAAGTCATGTGACATATTTAACACCGCTTCTGATCGTTAATGAGGGGAAACGTGAGATTATCTGTATAGAGACAAATAGTAGATCAACCCATTTTAACTTGGGGCCCACTCGTACCCACTGCAACTTTGTGGTTAACGTTGAGTTCCATTTCTGTTACGCACTTTTCATTAAGTGACGGTGAAAATAATCACATTTCCAGTTTTTATGTTGCAACCTTCTGATGACACGACACCTAATGACCACCTCCCTCTGAGAGTTTTCTGTTTGAAGCTTCGCAAAGCGGTACAGTTGTTAGCTGTCGTTCTAGACATGTCATCTCAAAATGTGGACGGAATAATGAGGAGAATTGTTTAAATGCCAATTGTAATTGAAACAGAAAATAAATATTTTGGTCCATTCATGTATCAAACGCCTGTTGTGAATTTTGCCATTCGCCTCCATGTTTCAGTACAGCAAGTTTTGCAAAACTGTACCGAAACATTGAACAGGTAAATAATATGAATAGGCTACATGTTTTTAGGGGCCCGGTCTAATGTAAGTGAGCCACTGTGTACTCTGTTGGGCCACTGGCAAGAACTGTCTTTGTTACCTCAGCGAGTGGCACCGAACCTGAGTTGTGTGACAAAATAGGACAGTACAGTAAAAAAATCCACCCCCCCCCCAAATTTTGGAGGTGCATGGATTTACTTTTGGGTGCTTTTACTTTTGGGTGCTTCAGGACCCCCCCAAAATGGGTGAGATATGCCTACTGTCTTCTGCATGATAGTGTTTTAGACAGTGGGCTATGGCTGTTGCTTGAAAATTGCTCTGGGGCTTCATGCAGCTGGGCTTCCAAGTCATGGGTGGAGAAACGGTGTGGCTGGCGGGCGTTATAATGTAAATTGCGAACCAAAGTCACAGACATTTCACATGACAGGTCTTTTTTCTGTATTTTGCCACAAAAGAGGTGCACCCGAGAGAGGGCAGAGGAGCTCCGGTGGCAAGCAGCCACACCGTGATGCTCCCAGCGAGGGATCACAGCGAGCAGGGGCGGCAGCGCTGGCCAGGGTCGAACAGCACCAGCGGCCGAAGGTCCACACCTCCCAGGATGCCATCAGGAATCAGGGTGAGACTATTGGAAGTGTCTTCCCATAACTGACATACAATTTGGACTGCAAACTTTCCTGCACCTCTATCAATTTGCAATTCACGTCTTCTTTTTCAACCAAACAACTATTCAATTAAAAAAAAAAAATTCACGCATTCTGCGAAGCCCTGAGCTGGCACCCAAAGCACCCTGTTACTTCTAATGTGCTACGTTTAAGAGTAAGAGAGGCTAGCTTTAGCTCCCAACTGATAGTGGTTCCCTTGATAGTCAACAGCACCCTGATGGAAGATTCCAATAGAAGCTCAACAGGCAGGCACGAGGCTCCTTGTGTGATTGATGCCAGAGAAAGTAACTTCTCAAGGTGACACAGAGAAAGGTCTGGATCACTATTGGCATAGGTGGAACTTAACAGCTAATCGATATTAAATACAGCAAGAGCCCAATTGAAGCCCGTTTGTGAAACATGTCCTAAGAATCTGAGAGTATCTATGCATTACTTAGTCAAAGTTGTAATAAAAAAAAAAAGTCTCATAGGAAAGTAGTAATTGGTATTTTGGGGGATTGGTAAGAAGCAATAAAAAAGCAGTGATGCTTCACTGGAGTTGAAACAAGAGGTGCGCTCTCTTTTACTTATGTTGCATCAAGGCATGTTCACACATTCATGCTGGTAAATTGTTAAAAAAAAAAAAAAAAAAAACTTACGTTACCATGAACAAATTTCTGCTGGCTCACAGTGAAACGGGAGCTGGAGGCCGAAGCCGCTGCGCTGGCAGAAAAAGATAAGGCAGCAACTGCACAGGTATGTTCGAATTGTACTTCCAAACTTAAGTTGTCGCTGATGTGTGTGACGTCATGCATGCTGCAATCAAGATGTCTCTCATCCACTAAAAAAGCGCTATGTATAAATGAAGATGAGTTGAGTTGAGAATCATAATCTGTGTATTGACAAGTTCTCCCCCCACCACCAGGGAACCGCCGCTGCCACAAAAGAGTGTCTCTCGGTGTCCGGCGTGTATTTCACCTGCCCGCTAACAGGAGCCACTCTAACAAAGAGCCAACGGGAAGTCCACATCAAGGAGGCCATTTTGATGGTACGATTATTCCCTCCGTTTAATGCGTGCAAAAGCCGCGGTGACTTGAACTCTTGTTTGTTTGTGTCAGCGCTTCAAGGAGGATGACGTGGAGGCATCCGTCATGATGATTCACACGTTTAACAAAGACAAAGAGAAGGTGAAGGCGGCCGTGGACATCATAAGCAAGTAAGATGGCTGAAAATGGAGTGGAGCGGATCTAAATGGAAGTGGGGTGCGCGTGCGCACACACACACAAAGTTGTGTGAATTTTCAATGAATTTTAAAATCTACCATACAAGAGTCCACATATAAGGAGGAAAGAATCGGCATCTGCGTGCGTAGTGGTTTGATAGGGTGTTGGTGCATTCCCGATAACAACGCACCGCATGATGACCAACTAACCACATGTCTGTTGTCATACTAGGATTGACCTATGAGAGTCAGCACGGTGCTCAACCATGCCAGAAAATACAAAGAAGAAAAAGAGTATTAGCTGAAGAAGCTAGGCTAACACTTGGCTTCTCTCCTAACTAGATTGCGGTTTCCATCGTTTCTCTTTGGCATGACTGACTTGTGAGACACTTAACACAACTTGTTGCTCTTTCTCTTTCTCCCTATTTTGCAGATATGTTGAAAACATTTGTAAGAATCCTTCGGAAGAGAAATACAGGAAGCTTAAACTAAGCAACAAAGTCTTTCAGGTGTGTCTAGTTTGTTTAATTGACTTGACTACTGCCATCTGGTGGTTAGAAGGTAAAATTACATGTGGTTTCTGATGAAGCTCTTTTTTTTTTTTTTTTTTTTAGGATAAAGTGCGTTGTGTGGAGGGCAGTAGAGAGTTTCTGCAGGCTCTGGGCTTTACAAGCACCATGCTTCCTGTGGATGGTCAAGGTACATCAGTTACTTGCGGGGAGCCTGTTTTTTGATTAATTAGTCTCAGTTAAGTAATTGGCCAATTAATTTCATTGTAAAGAATAAACATTAAAAAGTGAAATACCTCTTTTCTGTCGTTATGGGAGTTTAGAGGAGGAAGAGGAGTTCCTGGTGTTGCCCGAGCAGAGTTCTGACGCCCTGGAGCTAATGAAGGAACGGCGGGATCGGTTGCAGCGCGGCGAGCCTGTCAGAGCGCAATTGGACCGGCAGGCTCAGGCCTTCCGGGCGTCAGAAAACGCAACCCACTTTGAGCTGCCGCCTGAGTTCTACAACCTGAGCGCGGAGGAGATCAAGAGGGAGCAGCAGCAGAGGTTGAAATGTGCACTTTAAAGGTGCTTTTAAATTTTCGGGTGAAGGCTTAAAATCTCGTGTGTGTCAGGAGTGACTTGGTGGAGAAGAACTCCATGCTTCGTACCAAGGCTATGAGGGAGCGAGATGAGCAAAGGGAGAGGAGGAAGTACAACTACACACTGCTCCGCATTCGGCTACCAGATGGACACCTGCTCCAGGGTACATAAATCACAACACTGTATAATAAAACACAACATGCCGCAGTGGAGCCACAAATCGGAAACAAACCATTCGCCATTTTCCTGATGACCGATGTCACGTGCTTCTGACCTCAGGGACGTTCTACGCCTGGGACCGAGTTCCCGTGCTGTTCAGCTTCGTGCGAGACTCCTTAGTGGACGGCTGGCAGCCCTTCGAGCTCATCGCTCCTGGTGGTCAAAAGTTGCAGGAGTCCGAGGAGATGGCTCTGGCTGAGTGTAACCTGGTGAGTGATGCCAAGAACTGAGATGGAATTTATTAAGATGTTGGATTAAGATTTAAAAAGTGTGTGATGGACACTCAACCATTAAAACAAATGTGCAAATTAGTTTTTAACATTTTAAACCAGGTCCCAGGTGTCGGAATGACATCTGTGTATTCAACAAAACTCAATGCAGCTCTGCTTACCTTTGGGGATTTGACATGATAGCAGACATGGGTGTTTCTGCATAATTGTGCTCCAGCAGCAAGAAGTTTAAAAGTGGCTCTGGATCTGCAGCCATCCTAGCTGTCAAGTCATTAAGAAATTTGGTGTGGGGGAGCGGTTATTTTAAGAATAATAATATATGTAAAGTAGACCCACTGTTTAGTCCCAGCGGGAGAGCAGAATACCTTGTTTAGATTCATTTTTAAAACTGGGCTAACGTGGAAGTTTTACTTGGTTGATTTATTTCATACTTGATGAGTAAACCACACTCCAGTCTTACCCAACTTTCTTTCAAAACGGTGGTTAGATCTTTCTTTCATTCAAGATGCTCTGGATTAAGACTTTCATGCAGTTAAGGGTTGTAAATATCTGTGACATGTAGCCTCAATGTAGAATGTGTCAATTGTGGTTTTTTTTCTTTCCTTTCCCCTAAAAGGTACCCGCAGCTCTGTTGTCATTCGCCTGGGATGCAGCCGTGCAGGCAGACATTGCGGCAGCAGGTGGCCAAAGCTCGGCCCTCCTCAAACCGCAGCTGCTCGAGACCATTCGCAACCTGAGTTGAACGGGAGCACTCTGTCCATGCCAACGTTCCACCCTGGCACTGCCGGGTGGCGAAACTGTCCCTCACCAACCTATCACGCTCGTATTTATTGCTGTTGTTGCTCATCACCCAACAAATGCTAACCTTCATTCACAGCACACAACAGACTAAAATACAAAGAGAGAAGTGGGGACGTACAAATCTGCTGGATCTGTTGCTCCTTTCACACAAAAGGTCCTACAACAGAATTAAGCAGTTTTAACCTTTTGCGCAGACCCAGCAAAGACAATTGACAGCCGTCACAAAGGCTCGCATGTTTTAGGTATGCAAGGCCTCTCTTCATCAGTGTTATTAACTGATGGCAAGATGCCAATCAACGGTGCGCAATGAAAGTAATAGCCTGCCTTTGCTGAGACTGCGTATAAAAGTGCATAGGCTGATAAATCTTTTGCGACATTGTGCGAAAGACGCTTCTGATACTACCCGAGGGATGGAAAATTGACAGATCGGAAGTGGAATTCTTATCTTTCAATTTATGCACACTTCATGATTAATCAAACCGTACCATGGGACTGCATGTAATAAATGTAACAACAACAAAAAGTTCAGTCAATTGTATTTGTTTGTATCAAACATCTACTAGACGATGTCACGTAAAATGAGAAAAATTCAATCATCCCTCAGTCAACGTTTAAGTATTTTTAGAACTTAATCCGTCAACTCCAACATAACGCCTTTATCTTGCTAATGGTTTCGTGTACATGAATTCAAAGGCTCCAGTGGCGACTTGTTTGGTTTTAATTTTTTTCTTTTCTTACATTTCATGGTGGATGAAGGTGACAACCAACTACCTCGCATTGCTCGTCTTTCAAACACTGCGATGTAGATCTACAGAGTTGCGGAGTCACGTAGTTATTGTCACCTTAAAGCTAATTCAACTATTAGGTCGCGGCATTTCTCCCTGCTCTCCATGTGTTCCACGGTTTTCAAAGTGAGTGAGCAATTTGTCAACCTGTTTTGACTGCATTAAAAACTGTTTGCATCTGGACACATTTGTGAGCATCATTATTGTGAACACTGTTAAATGCGTACATGAGATCATGTACATACAGGAGATCTTCCACAGGCAACATATCCCACAGTTGAGATCAATTCTGGGCTCGTCGCACAATTTTTTTCAAAGAATGACCTACACAAACAAAAAAAAAAATGGTTTTGAAACAAGTACTACTGGAAGTCAACCAGCTTCGCAAAGGATTGTGTTCCGCTGCGAGTGTAATGTTATTAGTTGGATGACAGTTCAAAAATAAAAGAGAAAAAAACATAATTTGGCGCATAATCACACCATACTTCCATTGAGTTGGACTTGAGAACTGTGAGGTCGCTCTGTATGATGGACCCGGTCTGGCTGAGTAACAGCTCCAATCCTTCTGGTAATTTGTGTTTTGTGTATAATTTTCTGTACGTGTGTGAGAAGTTTAAATTTTGGTCCATGAAAACATAATGCAGCCATTTCATTCTTGGTTTAATGATTTTTTTTTCCTTGTTCAAGTATGCTTGCAAAACAACGCATATTTATATAAAACATTTCTCCGCTGGATCAAACTGTACAACTCTAGCAGCTATTCCAGTGAGCTGTGAGGGGTAGAAAATAATCGGGGTAAATGGCACAACAGTAAAGAAAAGGAGGAACCTTTAATCTGACTTCAACTTCTGGTAGCCTATTTACAAGAACAACATTGGAACCGAATTTCTAAAACGTAAATAATGCTGGTTTTTTTTTTTGGGACGCTTCTTGTCACAAAGGATGCGCCATAACTGTCCGAAAACACACCAAACCCAAGACACCATGCCCGAGACACCTTTTAAAGTAGCTCCCTGCCACTTGGCGGTAGGTCAATGCCAACATGAGCAGAATGCAACACTTCATCTCCCTCGCCACACCCATGGGGAGTGAATTGAGGACAAAGAAGGCCAGAGCAAGGAAGACGAGACGCGCCTCGCCTTCTACTTAGGCCGTGGCAAGGGTTGGAGCAGCGCTGGCCACTGGGAGAGCGGCCGTGTTGGACGGGGTGTCTTCCATCATGTCGCTTCCCTCGGTGGAGGATTTTTCTCTGGCTGTGCCTTCAGAGCACAATGGACAAGTTGCACATTTTGATAGGGTGACCAAAACCAATACAGTAGTTGATAATTGTAATAAATAATAATAATAATAATTATAACAACCCGATGAAACTTAAACTCATGGAAGGGTAATTAAATGGACATATATTAATCTTATCAGTTTGCATTAAAGAGAGACCTGCTGGGCCACTTTGAACTCTGTGGCTAACCAAAACAGCAGCACATAAGCAGAACGCAGAATCCTACCATGTGGTACTGATGAGGTCCCTGCCAAGTATTAAAGGATGATTTGACATTATGTGGAGATGTTACATTAGTGTTGACGCAAACGTAAGGTCGCGCCGCTATATTGTGCACATCAACCTCTATGTTCCGGGGCCTACGCAGCCTGTTTCACCCAATATTACAAGAAACATCTCAAAACTAGTACAAAGTTATGTTATGCTTGTGGATCAACTTATGCAATTCAAATCGTACATTGTACAACTTAATTACTATCTGTGTTACAAAATGAATGAATGATATTGTACTACCACAACAATTAGAGAGGTAATTATTTTGTAAGTGAACAAATTTAGCAACTGTTAACAACTATACAAAAAAAAAACCCCAAACAAACAAACAATTAAAGAGCAGCGGTATGTGTTATTTGTGGCATTTTACTTTTTGCAGCAGTTTTGATAAGGTAAATGCCACCAAATACAAGTGACTTACTCATTCACTGACGTTGACGGCCGTAGTCGTCAAAGATCTATTTTTATTGGGCTGGCAGCCTAGTCAAAATTGCTTTATTTATTTTTTAGCCTATATAGCTGTCATTGGCAGTGAATGAGTTCATGTAGTCCATGCAAAAGGGATGGAGAAAAAGTACATGTTTGGTACAAGAGATGAATTAGTTGTTGACAGAAAACTAATTTTGTGAAACATTTATTGAGTGGCAGGATAGGACCGTTCCTTCATAATGCAACAGCAAACTTTTTTTTTTTGGCTCACCAGTTTGCATGGAGACGATGATGCACTCGTCGTCGTCCTCCTCCGTGTCAGCTTGAAAACCGTCAGCCTCCATTTCTTCTGTCTGACAGACGTTAAGAAAGATAATATGAGCGAAAAGTGTTTTCATTTTCTAAAATGTATGAACATCGGTTACCTGTTCCCTGTCGTTATATCGCTTCATGAATTTAGTGATGGACATGCTGCCTGTGCTTTTCCTCTTGGAGGCCGCCGACGTGGCAGAAGGAATCTGCGGCGTGGAGGGAGAGTTGCCCTCTGAGCCCGTGGCTGCCTCCTCGCGGGACTCCTCCCGCGCACCGCTGGTCAAGTAGGACCACTGGCCGGGCACCGGGAGAGCCTCCAGGCCAAAGCGGGACAGGACATCCGCATGTACGTACCAGCAGCAGCGTCGGTAGGTGGAGCGCTTCTCATAAACTGCATTGTTCTGAATTAAATGCTTCAAGTGTTTTCTGAGGAGAAAATGGGAATCGTAAACTTCAATCGTCTTACAGGCCAGACCTCCACCAAGGCTGAAAAGGATGTACTAGTACTATCGCATATATCACAACTGATGCAGCTGTCATTGCACTGAAATGCTTCAATTGCAGTCATATATCACCATCCATGGCTTTTTCATGTCAAAATTATAACTAAGCGAGCACTACACGTGTCACAACAGATGACGGTGCAAACCGATTATCAGATTAAGGCTGAAATCGTCCTGTTTGAAGGCAATATGCTCCCTTTGCTGGGTTCAATGCAAAGGCCCTGGTGGACAAATGTCTAATCTACTGTTGACAGCTTCGACGCAGAAAGAGGCGATGGCCTTACCGAGTGGGCACATACGCCGAGCTCTCCGGGCTGGAGAGTTGAGGTGGTGGTGTGGAGGATGTTGTTTTCCGCCGGTAAAATTCCTGAAACTCCGTGATGATCACTTTGCTGCTGTTCAGGTTGCCGTGCAGCAGCGGCAGCAGCTGACCAAGCACTGAAGAGCAAAAAGTTGATCAAGTATAGGGCAACGGGTTATTTTAAAAATAAACAAAGAAAGGGAGAATACACCCCACACTTACACTGTGCTTCTCTGGTGCACTTCTCCGTCTGCTCCTCCGGGCTGGGGCTCATGTCAGTCTTAGGTAATGGTTCGATGAGGCACGCAGCATATGACTGCAGAAGATCTGAGACTGGCCCGTCACCCTCCCAGAGGCAGCCCCTCACCACCGGCTGCAACACTTTCATCTTGTTCTTAGTAGACATCAGTTCTTCCCACTCCCTGGCTTTCAGCCTCTGCTGCAGTTTCTGCCTTTCCAGGTCACCGCCATCCTAAAGAGGAGCACGGCGTTTAGGACACCCTGCTTAAAAGAACCCGACAAAAAAAAAAAAAAAAAAAAAAAATGGCTGCTGTCGACCGGCATACCGCTTCCTCGAGTGCCCCCTCATCTTCCGAAAGATAGCCATGAGGAACGAAGAACCCGTCATTGTCGTCATCGTCCTCTCCTCCCTCGTCCTCATCCTCCTGAAAGGGGTGTAACCACTTTAAACTTAACATATCCAAGCCTTTGACAATTTAAAAGGTAGGCATATGCCCTTCACAATTTAAGACAGTTTCCAAGGCAAGTCCAGATTTTGTTACCTTGACAACATGACAACTGGGGGGCGGAAACTGAGCTTTGCAACTTGGCAGACTGCCTTACTTCATCTCACCGGCAGCCGTTTTGCTTGCAACACTCAACTGACTCTTCAGGTGAAAGAGAAGGTGCATGTGTACTGCTAAATTAGCCACACGGCCTAGCCAGCCAGGCTGCGAGCATCCTTATTCAAGCCATGTTGCCTGGGATCAACTAATTTCTCAGCCAAACTAGGGCAAACTGACCTCATGGCAACGCTGAGAAATGGAGCAAGCACGTCAAAGATGGGGAGCTAATGGACTTCTATTCCTTGTTACCATCTGGAGGCGTTAGCTTAAACAATTCAATCTTATTCCAAGAGCTGCACTGAGGCCATTTATTTGAGCACAGTTAAGCCACACTTTGGCTCGGCGAGCATACGCCCCATGCGCACGTCTTCGTTGGAGCTGCTCCATCTTCGTGTCGGCGCACTCGGCAAACGAGCAGTCAGTGACTTGGCTGTGCTCAAAACAAGCTTTTGTGCCGATTGTGGGACAAATCAAAATTTATATTGACATTAATAATAATCAATCGCGATACATACTGATATTGAATTATTGTCCAGCCCAAACCCAAACTCACCCCTTCACTGTGCGAGAGGGACTCCCCGGGTTCTTCTTCCTCCCATTCTTCATCACTGTCCACCTCATAGTCCAACAAATCCTGTCGTCCAAAGGGGGGGGGAATGACTCACACTCAAGCAATTGCCACAACGTGCAGAAAATGAGCTCACTATGATGACAAAACATTTGACCCGCTTGCTGTGTCATGGCACTTGAAAGTAGCATGTGTTCTTACCGTGTCTTTTCGGAGGGGGCAGCGCGGTGAGATGTGCAAACTCGTCTTCCTCCAAGTGCCCCAGTAGGCTGGACGGTGGTTCTCATGAAACAGCAGCAGTTTCATAGTCCCGTACAGTTTGCGATCGGGTACACCTTCTGCTTTGGGCCCATCCATGGCTATACAATCACTGAGAAGAACACAAACACCAAAGCGTTTGTGTTCAATGCTTTTCATTTTAAG